AAAAACAAGCACCATGGTTTCGCACAATGGGTGTTGGACGACATAAATTTCACATGCGTGAGAATGCCATAGGTCAAGTTAAGGAGGAACCGTTACAGCCTGGCTCTCAGTCCACCAGTCCGCCACTCCAAACAGGCACACATACACAACTGAGCAGATTGCGTGGACTGATTTGGGCCGTCATCCCTCCAAGCCAAGGCGCTTGAAGCACCATGATAGTCTCAGACTCGGGTTACATACAGAAGACGAGCCACACGGAGAAGGAACCGAAAAGCACACTTCCCACTTGCGTGAGTGGTGGCAATTGAATGCTTGCGATGGATGATGTTGATGTGTGGTGCGGGTTTTGATGGGGAGGACGTGACGGTGTGATGTAGTTGGCGGCTGTCTACTGCACATGGTCAAATAGACCCATGCGTGGCCGTGAGTACGAATGCGGCGGGTGTAAGTGGGTGCTTCAGGCACTGGTTCGCCAGTCTGCTCGATGGATTCGCAAGCGACCGGCCGGGCCGGTGCGTGGATAATGTGGGCAGGATAGATCGTCGGTCTCTGGATCGGTTTCAGTTATGGCGATCGTGGTGGAGATGCCGATGTTCAGGACATTGGACGGCGGGATGTGGGTTGGGCCTGGCATGGCGGATGTGCAAGATATGCCGGGTGTGTCATAACCGCGGTGACTTCCGATCTCGCGGATGCGCATGTGATGTAGAAGGCCCATGCAGTGTGTGGATTTGCGGTGACAGTGAGAACAGATGCGGCGAGTGTATGTGGCTGCTCCAGGCACTGATTCGCCAGCCTCTGTGTGGTGGATTCGCAAGTCACCGACCAGGCCGATGTGTGAGGCGAAGGTACGATCACAATGAGGACAGGTTTGGACCGAGTCCTGTGTCTTGCCAATGATGAGGTTGATGTTTACCGGCGTGTGAAGATTGTGTGCGATGGTGGATGCAGGAGACGCTGCAGCAGATGTTGAGGCGATGGAGGATGGCAGTGGGGGGGTTTAGGAGTGCGGTTATTTCTTATTGTCTACGTGGGGTGCGAGGCAGTTGTAAGCGGGAGGACATCAGGTGATGTCGTCTGTGCGCGGCAGTTGGTCCGAGGGTGTTCAATAAGACCGATTGGTGCCCGGAACGTCCGCTGGCATCTTGGGGTTGGCGTTGCGAGGCGGGGGCAGTTGTAATTTGCGAGGTCCGCGTTTGGCTTTGGCGTCGGTGACGCGGTTGGCTTCGTAGATTGCTGTGCCTGTCTTAACTGCTCTCCTCCAGGCCAGTCGGTCCTGGGCGAGGTCTTCACAGTTGGCTGGGTTGATTTGCAGGCGCCACAGGGAAGCCCTCAGGGTGTCCCTGTAACGCCCAACTTGACCGCCTTTTCGGAGGGAACCCCATGGCGACATCTCCATAGAAGTGCGGTTTGGATAACCACTCGTTGTCCATCCGAATGAGGTGGCCGCTCCAACGCAGTTGCAGTTGTCTCAGCATGGCGTAGATGCTGAGGATTCTCGTCCGTTCCATTATGTCTGTTTCCGGGATCTGGCCCTGCCACCTTAGCCTCAGTATCCGTCGAAGACAGCTGAGGTGGAAGTGGTGGAGTCTTCTCGTCTGTTTCTTGTACACCCTCTAGGTCTGCGCTCTGAACAGCAGCGTCGGCCGGATGAGTGCTTTGTACGTCTTGCGTTTGGTGCTGGGGCAGCGGCCGAAGGCTCGGCTGGCTTTAAGGATTGTGCCGCAGGACGGATTATCAGTAGTGACATTCCTTATGTGTCGATCTCGCTATCGCTTGTAAGTAATCGTTTGGCTGATTGTGCTCAGCCGCACCTGACGGTATCGTCACTTCATGGTTCGCGGCTGCTTATCCACCAATCGGAGAATCGGCTTATTTAAACGCCATCCTTCCGATGAAGGCTGCTCTAACGCCCTCCATCGCTCATTTCTCGTTCATCTTCCACGCGCACAAAGGATGACTGAGTGGATAGATGTCCGGCGCACGCGGATCTATTTGGTGATAGATATGTCACCTCGAGTGAATAGACACTTCGTAAGGATTTCGACCATTCTGTGAGCCTCATGGGAGGCGATTGGCCTTTATCCCACCCGTTTGGTAGCAGCCCCTTCCTCCCCTCCCCCCCCCGGGGGGGAAGTGTTTGAGACTTTTTCAAATTGACAGGCGTCGAGTCAGTGGGGTGGCTTCTCCCGAATCGGCATGCAGCTAGGAAACACTCTAGTCCTCCCAGAGTACATGGATGAACCGGCAGATTTAGCAAATTTATCGGTAGGCCGCGGGAGTAAGTAGCCCCTCCCCCCATTACAGGTGGCCCTGCGCAAAATTCCAGAGACTGGGGTCAGTGTTGCGATTAAAGTAAGGACAGGGAATAGGTGCCCCATGGAAGAACATTTGTTGTATGGGAGGTACTCATTCACCTGTCCTGCCTGATCATTCACCAGTGACATGAACTATAGATCACCACTGCCTGAGGCTGGCAAAACGGTCTCGTCATGGCAGCCGAGGTCGGTCATCCGGCGCTTGGGTGCAAATCCAGCACGGTCAAAACAGTCTGGGGACCGTCTGAAAATCCAGTCGACGGCGAAATTGACACGAGCCTACTCGCAGTATTCTGACCGCCCAAAATGAACAGGAAGGAGTAGCCGTTGCCGGGTTTTCCTGCCAAGATCTGGCTTTTCGCGTGACATCTTTAAAGAAGCTGAACATGCACGAGTGAGCCAGTCGTTCTGCCATGCCATCACCAGACAACTTCCACTATTGGGGTTATGTTAGAACTGACGAGCACGTGACAAAACCATATTTTGTGAATTGGCCTAACATTAATTTAAAAAGTTTCATTTCATGAACATAACTGATGATAGCGGTGAATTGGACTCCGCGAGGAGACAGACGTAGAGTCATGAGGTGGTCATTGAAGCCCTGCGGCAGTCAGGGTTGTCGTCCCATGATGTCGCTAGGGGTGGCAAAGGCGACTCCTGTGTCGCGCCGCTCTGCAGGTGGGCGACTCCTGCAGAGGATGGGGTAGCCGACACCCGCCACCCCCATATGACCCAGTTCTGGAAAACAGGTCTCGCTGGGAGTAGGGCTATCCACTTCGTAGCATGCTAGTTTCCGAGTGATCATCGTCGTCCTCCCTTCCGACCGGTTGCTCCTCGAATTGTCTAAAAAAGGACGAACATTCCAGACTGCCAGAGTAATCTAACTCACACAGCCAGCCTGTGAGGCGGATCTGAGGGAAGGGGAGGGTTGTTATTGTTGTTGTTATTCTTTGTCGTTTTCCCGACCGCGACTTTTGCGTCTACGAGCCAGTGTATACTAGCAGATGGCGTGATTTCCTAGCAGTTGTTTAGGGCACCTTCTCCAGCCCATTATCCGCGAGGTGGTAAAGAGTGCTATCCCTAAGTAAGGCTGCTTAGACATCCGCCACGGCTGCCTAATTCCACCATGGATCGCGGCTTCGTTTAATTTAGAGCGACCCGAGTTATTCTGGTTGCCTCCGATCTGCATGTCGATATCATTCGTGTGGCTGTTGAAGTGGAAGGAGGGGGGGAAGACAGGGAAGGAAGGAGGGGGACAGTGGGGGAGGGAGGGAGGAGACGGAGATAGTAACAGAATTATCGGACAATGGGTGGCACAGCACCGGATATCCTCGTCTAGTTTAGCCTACCGATCGAGGGGGTCACTGGGGTGTAGTCGTGGGGCAGATGTGGGACGGCAAAGATGAGAGGTAGATATCACTTAAGTCACCATTTGCTTGATGCACGGATGCCTCTGGGTAGACAGCCCTTTATCCCTAATTGAATATGAAAGAAGACATGATAAGGTGACTTTGCAGCACGAAAGCGCGGGGCCTCGTGTTGTACAACGAGTGAAGGAAGTATCGGAAAAATTTAGCTGGGAAGTTACACCCAACCCGTCATATCCACCCGATCTTCCCCCATCAGATCATCACTTTATTCAGTTGATGCAACACGACCTTATTGGGCGGCGCTGCAGTTCCTATGAAGAAACTTTAAAATGGCTCGATATAATGATCAACACTTTCTCTGCCGCATAAGCCATCTTTACCCGGAGGATCGAAAAGGTGATACTTGCCGACGGACAATATTTTGAACAAAATAGATTGAGTAATTGCTTTAAGATAGACGCTGTTTTATTTTCATGAAAAAGGACAAGAATTAATTTCTATTTCTAATATATGCTCCTATGGCTTTCTATCGTATTTTGACGGGAATTCGGCTGACACAGGGAATGCTAGAAATTCGTCAGGACTAAGAATGCATAGAAGCTTGTTTGAACCCGCCTGACACCGAGCAATGCAGCACAACTCTGACACGTGTTGAGTTCAGATGACCAGCCTTACCCCAGCGTGACCTAAATGTTTACGATTTCAGCACAAAAGGACATGTACTTTAGAGCCGCGTTTAACAGTATCAAACCAACAACCTCTTGTCCAATTCACAAGACGGTTTCCGTAGGGGAAGATCATCTGTAACGGACTTGCTATATACAATGCAAAGGTGGACAAACATACTGGATGCAAAACACATTGTGCATGTGGCTTATATTGATTTCCGGAAGGCGTTCGACAGTGTTTCGCACCAGCGTCTCTTCTACAAGTTGTGAGTCATGGACATCGGCGGCAAACTTCTCAATTGGATCGAAAATGTCCTCGTCGGCCGTCCCCAAATTGTTTGCGTAGAACAACAGCAATCAAGGCACGCATTCATAGACAGTGGAGTCCCACAGGGCTCGGTGCTTGGACCAACCCTCTTTCTCTTGTTCATCAGTTATTGTGTAGATGGGCTGGATTGTTATAGTGCCATATTTGCAGATGACATGCAAATCTGGAAAGTCATCCAGAATGCTTCTGACGAGACCAACTTCCAAGAAGGTCTTTTTCGATTGGACGACTGGTCTCGCAGATGGCTCTTGTCCTTCAGTTTGAACAAATGTACTCTACTGCGCCTCGGAAGTCAGACCCATAATACGCGGCAATACCATCTGCATAGAAGCTTGTCTGAACTTGCTTGACACCAAGCAATGCAGCACAACCCTGACACGTGCTGAGTTCAGATGGCCAGCCTTGCCTCCAGCGTGACCTAAATGTTTACGATTTCAGCACAAAAGGACATGCACTTTAGAACCTCGTTTAACAGTAGTAAACCTTGCCTATGCATTACCACCCTCAGGCCAGGTCCCAACTAGGAGAAGATTGGCATCCCTGGGAACGGGAGGGGGGGGCAGAATTGCATCCACTACAGACTTTGTGGCCGGAACTGAAGTAAATAAATCCCAGCCATCTGTAATACGGCATCGGTGGTAATAGGGATTTTTGCACGTGGGACTGGGGAACGCCCAGGCGACGAGGTCAATTAATTGTATGCAAGAGGAAAGCTCTTGGAAATGCGCAGTTGTCCTTTGAGTGGTTAAGAAATAGTTGCACTAACCCTAGTCCCTAACCCCAACCCCAACAGTATTGTGTTCACCAGCTGGGGCTACGTAACCACATCTTACCGACTTTATTAAGGGCGGAACTCGGTCAGGTCTGATCCGCATCATGTAGGCGACTCAAAACAAACCTCGATATAGACTATGGTTGCGACTGGCGAAGGAGGTAACGAAGCTTATCGTAACTGCGGAGGCTGGTGCACAGTCGCAGCCATGTGCCAGACGACAGTTTGATCGTCGTGACGGACGGTGTCCACCGTGTTCTTCACAGCAGGATAAGATCAGGGACAATGACTGGCGTTCGAAGTAGTTTATAGTGATAGTAGAACCACCCATCACCTGGATCTGTTGTCAAGACAGGGTCAAGAAGACCGGAGGCGGGGAGGGCACAGGTGCCCGGCACGGCGAAAACCCGCACCTGGGCATACCGCCGCATCCCTGGTCCACAAGGTACACTGATCAGGATAACATACATTAAAAAGAGTGGGGCAGCACGGATACCAAATGTCGTGGACTAGACCTACATCAGGGCATGGCACCACGCCCCCAGTGTTGTCATTTTTATGGGTACGCGCTGCAGATAACGCCAGTCAGAATCCGATCTAACCCCCATGTTGGTCCGGCGCATCTACCGCGGCCCTGTCTATAGGCACACCGCTTGGCAGTGGACCCTTGGGAGTAAGGTCACCACAGCTCTGCCCGCGTCGGCGTGCCTTATTGCCTCTTCGGATGACTCCCGACCTACATAAATTGTCTCCAGGCTGAAATCTCTTAGGGGGCAGAGTGCTTTTAACTGAGATGTGCCGAGTCAAATACTTCTGACCCCAGACCAAGAGTTTATCCAAGTCGAGGCATTGAGGCAATAAGCGCTCGGAGTAATACCTCATGAGACAGAATACGCATGCTATTGCGGCGAGAGTGTGGTTTGTCCCCGGAATCAGCAACAGATAGCCTTAGGACCCTGTCTAACGGGAATGGTGGTAATAGGGGTAATACTGGTGCGGCCTTCGGACGCACATAAAGGAAATCGAGAAATTAATAGGGAGAAAAAATGTAAGATAACAATGAAAGCCTTCTAGTGGGCTTAAAATTTAAACAGTAAGTAGGCGCACGAAGTCGAAAAGCTAACGAAAAACGGTAGTCAGGGCAATTCAGGCAACTGAATAAACCACTGCCAACTGAAGAACGAAAGCTCAGGTTCCAGGGAAGATAACAGTCAATCGGAATTGGATGCGGGCGGTAATCAGACGTGCAAATAACGGAGGCTGAGAGCTATACCGTGGGACACAATAAATGTCAGGAATTTACTAAAAATACATAATAAAAAACAAGAAGGAAATGTGACAAGTTAAGCTATGTGCAATTAAGAAAGATTAAAAATAAAAAAGTCTAATAATGTAAAGAGACATTGCTTTCAAATAGATATCAAAGTATATGTACTGGAACTAAGTTATGGTAAATATCGAGGATTTCGGCATCAAACACGAATTCTCACCCTGAATATTGAAACACGTAAAGGCAGTCTGTTCATGTAGCTACAAACATCAGTGGCTGAGCCTGTGAAGTCGAAAGTCTGACTGGCTGACGACGGCTATTAATCCAGAAACGGCCATCCCTTGTCTTTGTCGGTAATGTTATTCCGCCCATATCATGCGTCGCTTTCAGCGGCTGGTGGTGCTCGAGAGAGTGCCACAAGGTACAACGGGACGAGTGAGTTCCATGGCGCGATCGGTGAGTGCCCCCGTATCACTTTATATACCCGATCGCAAACGACAGGACAACTAGCTCATGCCTCAGTGGTTAGGGGCCTTAGACTTCTAACCAACAGGTCGCGGCAGCGAGACCCAGGTGTTCCACACTTCGGGGTTGGACGTGGTTGGCTGACAACGGCTAATAAGTCAGAAATGGCCATTCCAGTCTCCGTTGTCTTTGTCTGCAATGCTACTCAGCAGTATTTCTGATAAAGTTGGCCTTCTGAGATTTAGTTATAAAAATTATAGTACTATGAAGACTAAAAAGTTCGCTGGGGGATTATAGGAGAAGGGCTTCCGTGTTCCTTAAAGCAGTGTTGCTGTAGACTTTGATAGGGTAGCAGGGCGTGAGCTCCTGGGTCGAAGACAAGAGGTATTGGGGTCGGATCTTATTTCGTAGCCGTATCCGCAGTTGACAATCCCCAGCCTAACTCCTAACCCCAAACCCTGACCCATAATCCATAACCCTAACCCCTAACAAGTACGGCTACGAAATAAGATCTTGACGCATTGGGTACCGGCCATGCACTTCAGGAAACTGGGGACAGATTCAGGCCCACGGCCGTCATTGATGGCCTTCACACCCAGAAAAACGCGCGCCATATAATGACAACCGTGCACAAGGCTCCTCAACCGCGTGGGCGATCTCATCACCCGAAATGCCAGACCTCATATAAACCTCTCCCGGCGAACGCCTCTCGGGGTCGCACTATCACTTCTACTGACTTGCTAAAAGAGTAGAGCTTGCATACGCCGAAACTAACCTACCAGCTGTGACCACATGCACAGCATAATTTCCGTCCCCTCTCATGGCTGAAGCTGGCAAGCATGAGTGGATAGGTTTGCCGGAGGGTCAGAGCAACAAAGCGTCCTTTGGGGAGCGCGTGGGTTGCAGTGCTTCGTGATGTGTCCTCACCGGCTTGAGAAAGTGATTGGCTGCGTGACCTGTGCGTTAGATAGACGTGTGGTTGGTTCGCTGTGGG